TCTGGACGTCCAAGCAGCTGGAGGTGGTGGCTGAGTGGCCGAGAAGCCACAATGGCTGGTGGCATCCTAGGGAGCTGCCCTGAAGGATGGCACAAGAGGGCACGTGGGCACAGTTGGGCACTGTAGGAGGGCACAGTTGGCCGACACAGGCCATGGGCCGTGCAGAACCTTTGCACCCCACTAGGGTGGCTCTGCTGCCACCCACCCAGGCCCTGTCCCAACAGGCAGCCCCACCTGCTCACCTGACTGACCTTGGGCAGGGGCATCAGCCTTCCCTGCCCACTTTAGAAGCAGTTGGTAAAAATGAAAACCCCAGCCAGGTGCGGTGGCGCATGCCTATGATCCCAGCCCACAGGAGGCTGAGGCAGGACATTTGCCCAAACCTCAGCCCGGACAACTCAGGGACTTGGTGAAACCCTGTATGCAAATGGAAAGTGGAGAAAGGGCTGGGGCTGGGAGCCCTCTGTCCAGTCCCCACTACCACACACACACACACACACACACACACATGCACTCGGGCACACACACATATGTGTGCACACAGGTACACAAATGCTGGGTTTGGTTCTAAAGTATCGGGTTAAAAAGAATCAGGACACCTCTGAGCCTTGTGTTTACCAGGTCTCTGCAGGAAGAGGCCCAGCAGGAAGGGGACTGTGAACATCCAAACACACGCCAACATACTCCTAGTTTACCACGGTGTTCTGTCCCCATGTGGCCCACCCTAAGCAGAAAGTGTCACACACTTCCTGTGCATCCTGGGCTCCAGATGCCCAGCATCAGGCTCAGCTTGTCCCCTTACACGCCTACCCAGGGGCAGCAGAACCTGGCGGAACCACACAAAATCATCTGGAAAGAGACTAAGCACGAGCTGAGCGGCTCGAATGAGACACCCTCTGTGTATAAACCCGGTTTGAGCCCGTGACAGAGCTGTGTGCACAGGGCCCACAGCCAGAGGGGACCAGAGAGTCCAGTGCCACAGGCTGGAGACCCCACAGCACTGGTGTCTCGGTTCAGGGGGACCCTACGAGACTCCTCGCAGTGACTGAGTGACATTTCACTGTGCGAGGGCCATGACCTAACCCACTCACCTCCCCACCCCCGGGGCCCTTTGGGGGTTTTCACTTTGGCCACGGTGTACAATGCCATGCACAGGAGTTCACTCTCAGCCAGGTAGGACAGTCCTGACAGCCTGGGAGGCTGAGGCAGGAAGATCGCCAGCTGGAGCCCAGTGCGGGCAATTTAGGGACACAGCAAGAGCCTAACTCAAAATAAAAAGCAAAAGGGGCAGGCATGTAGCTCAGTGGTGGGGCAGTGTCACAAAAAATGAAAAAGGAAGTAAATTAAAACAGAAGTTCAGAAGTAACCCTAACTCTGTGGCTACCAAGCAGCCCCTCTGACACCTGGGGAGACCCTCTTGCCCTTTCCAGGGTGTCCTGGAAGCCCCTGGTGTCCCGCCCCCTCTCCTCTGACCCTCAGGATGTTTCACTGGCTGGGCCCTGAACCCTCACACTGCCCCAACAGCCTCAAGAGGCCCTGGCTGGGGGGCTGTGCTCCCAGGGGCACCCAGATCATGCCTGCACCCCATTTCCCCTCCCCCTCTTTGGGCCCCAGCACCATCCCAGCACTGCTCTTTGCTGGATTATGTTCTCTTCCTGCCAGGACCCCAAGGCTGGCTCAGGTTCCCTCGTCCTGCCTGGCTCTTTATCACAGCACAGGGGACCTGCCTAGGAGACAGCAAAGAGGGGGTCTGGGCCACTAAATCTTGGGAGTGGCCTCTATTCCACCAACAGATGAACGGATAAAGAAAACATAATCATACCGTGGAATGCTACTCTGCCATAAAGAAGGATAAACCTGAGTCGTCCATGGGGAATGGTTGCCCCTTGGGACCGACCGTAATTCTAAGTGAAAATGGAAGTTAAACCCAACACACAAGCTTGAATAGCAGGGTTTATCCTACATGAGAAGCCCAGAGTACAAGTAAAGAGCAAAATAAAAGATAGCTACAGGAACCAGGAGACAGCTCTTTTTGGAATGTGGAGGGGATCTGAGATGGACTCCCAGCAGGACAGCGATTGTTTTGGGCTGCAGTGTGGACACCTCAGAAGGTCTTAACTCTACAGAGGAGCCAGGCCCTGATCTGCCCATCAAAGATGGAACGGAGGGCGGAGGTGGGGGGAGCCACAGGGCACAGGCTGGAGGCTTCCTGACAGGCAGTGCTTGTGCAAAAGCCCTGAGCCTGGTGGACCAGCTGGGGAAAAGCTGGAGGAGCCAGAGGGTGTGACCACAGCAGAGGCCGGAGCAGAGGCTGTTCATCCCAGTCATGGCTTGGGTGCAGGTCTTTGTGCTAGAGCTCAGCCTGCTCCCCACAGAGGAGCGGTCCACAGGGGATAGCTGCAGGGGCACAGTACGGAGCTGCAGCAGGGTCCTGCAGGGATGAAGACCAGGGATGGTGCCTGCCAGGGTCTGAGCAGCACAACGTGGATGGTGACTCCGATGACATCCAGGGACAGGTCCATGCTGGATCCCAGCCAGATCCTGACCCCACCGGGCCTCACAGGAATAGCCCAGGGTCCCTGCTGTCTCTGGCCATGCCTGGGCTCACTGCAGAGGCCCTGGAGGGGCTGGCAATGGGCTTGGGGGCTTTAGGTTAGGGTTAGGGCTTCTGGAGGGGGGCTGGGCCCAGGAGGGGCTCTGCAAGGAGGTGCAGACCTTATAGAGACAGTGCTGTCCCCATGGGCTGCCTCTCTGACCTCCCTGTGGGCACACAGAGTCTTGGAAGGGAACAGGGACTCCCCGGGGCTCATTGGTAGAGACAGTGGGGAGGGGGCTGGGAGGAATCAGTTTCAGGGAGAAAATCTTAGCCCATACCCCAGGCAGACACTGAAAGGGATTTAGGGGCCGGTGCTCAGAAGAAGTGTGGCCTGGAGGGGGATGGCAGCAGTCTGTTGGGCAGACTGGGGGAGCAGACACAGAGCAGGTATGGGGGAGCCCTGTCTGGAGCCCTGATGAGCAGGGCAACACAGAGGGACTGGGAGAGGAGAGGGTTCCAGCCTTGCCCACTGCTTGCTGCCCCAGACCTCAGGTCCCCTCCATCCTGGACCTGCCACTGGCCACAGCTGTCCCGGGCGCAGAGAACCAGCTGCCCCGGAGGCCCATGGGAAAGACAGCCTGGAACCAAACCCAAGGCCCAGCAGGGCAGCTCTGCCGAGTGCAGCGTCTATGTAAACAGAGTCTGCACTGGAGGAACAGCCCAAGTTGGGGCGGGGTCCCCCTGGCCCCTGAGGTGCCCCAGTCCTGTGCTGTTCCTCTCCCCAACCCTTTCTGTTGGGGAACATCAGAAGCCCGAGTCCCGCTCCTGACTATGTGTTCCCACAAACAACACTCAGGCGGAGTCTCAGGACTGCCTGCAAGTCCGGGCAGGTGCCGCTCACCGCCAGGGAGAGGGGCAGCAAGGAGGCTGGGGGAGCCAGGACCAGGACAACGGGTGAGCCCTGGGGCACTGCCTCCTCTGGCACCCCGGGGACCCGGCCAAGCCCTCTGGCCCCTAGAGGAACCAAGCTACCGGCCTGCAGGGGACCCCAGGAAGACAGAAATGAAAGTGATGGTTTAAATTTCAGTAACAGTAAATGACCACATGGTCCACCGCCTGGAACAGGCTGCACTCTGCATTGCAGGGGGAGCCCCACCTTGTTCTGCAGAAGGCACCACCACCCCAATCTCAGGGGGAACTCAACCCGGGCTGATCCTGAGTGAGGCTGCTGCAGGCCACTTCTCCTGTCCCCTCTCCCTTGCCCTTCTGCTGTGACAAGGTGCAGGAGGTCCAGGCATGCAGAAGAGCAAACCCTGGGGATGGGGTTGCCCACTCAGATGAATCCTGAGAGTGGCCGGTTCAGCAGAAGCCCCAACTTCGGAGCACCAACAAAAGAAGAGGTGCAGGAAAAACACAGCCTGGGGAGAGGTTGCAAATGTGGGTAATGCCCCAGTACCGGCTGTCTGTCGCCAGCTCCCCCTTCTCCCCAGCTGCCAGGCCAGACTGCAGCCCCAGAGCCCCGTGCATGATGGGGCCCTCCTATGTGGCTGCGCTCGGATTCGGGCTGTCTCATCCTGACCACGCTGGCACGTGGCCACATCTTGGCAGCCTTCCCTGGATCCTCACAGGGATGGGGACCTCTCAGTCCCCATGCTCACTGGGTACAACTACCCACTTCCTGCTGTTGGAACCGGCTCACTGCCGGTGGACCCCAGTGTACTTACTTGGGGCGGGAAGGGCAGCACCTGGACTGAATCCCGGGCCCTCACACCGAGCTACAGCCCTGGTCTGCTTTTACTGTTTGTGATGGGGTCTCCCTAAGTCACTAAATGATCCAAGCTGGGAAGCTGGGCTTGAACTCCCAGGGAGCTGGGATTACAGGGGCACACTGTCACACCTGACTGCAAAACTTTACCTTTCTGCTTGGAGGTGTCCTCTTATTGTCCAGGAAGAGGGGGTTAATATGAGTAACAGGCACCCGAGTGGCTTTCGGGATTCCTTCAAGGGATTCTGTTACCTTTTTATGGATCAGCAACTGGTCTCTCAGTGGGGGGGGGGAACAAAGAGAGAGAGAGAGAGAGAGAGAGAGACAGACACACACACACAGAGAGAGAGAGAGAGAGAGAGAGAGAGAGAGAGAGACAGACAGAGAGAGACAGAGAGAAACAGAGAGAGAGATGTGGGGAGCTGGGGGGGGGGTACGGGACTTCCCACCAGGGCACTGTGGTGAGCTTTGTCTTGGCCCACTGCGCCTTGGGCCTTGGGGGCAGCTCTGGCTCCCTGGACCCCGCGTCCCACGCTGAGCAGACACTCCGTAAATATTTGTAGAGTGAAGCACACAGATGATTAAATAAACGAAATTGGAGCGTTTTATTACTTGACTCCTGCGAGCTGTTAGTCACCGGGCTGCCTAGAGCTTTGGGGAGAAGATGCCCGCTCGGGCTGAACCCCGGAAATGGCCAGATGATTCACTTTCCAGTCAGTTCGTTTTGTTCCCATCAAAATAAAGACTGCGTTTACTCCAAGTTATCTTCAGACGTTCAGCGGTCCGCTCACTGCCAAAGTCTGGGTTGAATGTTGGTTACTTTTGCTCGAAACAAACTTAAAATAACCATTTATTCCTCTCCCCCAGAGAGCGATTTTCAAGGGTTGGGCGCTGGGACAGAGGCGAGCAGGGGTCGTGGGCAGACCTCACCTCGTCGTCGCTATCCCCACCCGCGTCATCCCCGTCTGGGGTGAGGACTCATTCGCTCCGGTGCAGCGCCCGGTCACCGCTGTTGGTGTGGGTGGCGCTTTCGGTGACTTCACCTCCAACCCGGTGTCCTTCCCAGGGCTGGAAATATTTTTCCCTCTAATCATGGGAAAATGTCCTTGCTTTTGCACTCCCTGTTCGCCCCGGCCCGAGTAGCCACTGCCGAGGGACGGACGACCGCCAGTCCCGGGTCGGAACTGGACTTCGGATCCACCCGGCCGACGAGGTCAAACGGAAGCGCTTTCCCTGGGGCGCCGGGAGCGGCGGGGCCCCGGCCGTGGGGGAACGCAGCGGGATGCCCAGGCCGGTTTTCTGCAAGACAGCGCGCTGGGAAATCCCCGGACGCACACGCACTTTTGAAATTCACTGAAACCCTTTCGAGTGGAGGGAGGCACGTGAAGTCCAGGGCTCGCGCGAGGCCGGGAAGGGCCCGAGCCGGGTGCGGGAGCAGAAGCGGGAGCGGAGCAGGCGGAGGAGCGGAGAAATCCGCGCCGAGAGATCGGAGGTGGAGCCAGCGCCACCGCCCCTGAAGTCCCGCAATCCATTAGTTTTTCTTTGCAAAGCGTCGCCGAGCTGCGCGCACAGCGGGCCAAGCGGACGGCGCGCTCCAGCTGCGCGCGAGCGACCCCGCCCCGGCGCCCGGGCGGGCCCACCTGGGTCGGCTCCCACCTGGAGCGCGCTCCCGACGATGGGAGGGGCGGATGTCGGAAGTGACGTCTGCGGGCGGGGCTGCGCGCACCTGGGCACCCGGCGGCCGTGGGGCGAGGCGCGCGCGATGGAGGGCGACGGCGGGGTCCCCTGGGCCCTGGGGCTGCTGCGCACCTTCGACGCGGGCGAGTTCGCGGGCTGGGAGAAGGTCGGCTCGGGCGGCTTCGGGCAGGTGTACAAGGTGCGCCACGTCCACTGGAAGACGTCGCTGGCCATCAAGTGTTCACCGAGCCTGCACGTCGACGACAGGTTTGGCGGGGCGCGGGGCGCAGGGCGCGGGGTACCCCGAGGGAACCCGGCAGCCGGGGCGCGCGCCTTGGCGAGGCCTGGGTCCGTGCGCCACGGGTCGTGCTAGCGGGGGTGGAGGACCTGGGGGTCACGGAGGCCAGGACCGGTGCGGCTTCCTCCGTGCTGCCCTGGCCTCCAGCATTTGGGGGCCTCCAGGGTTTCGGGGTTCCAGGCCCAAAGACCCTCCTGCGCGCTGCGGTCCGCGGGGGCTTAGCAAGATTGCGGTGCGGGCACCCGGCTTTGTGAGCGCCGTCGGACTCACCCAGTCATTTGCGCCGAGCACAAATTGGCCTAAGACGCTAATTACCTCGGTGGGAAGCATTGGCCAGGGCCTGTTGTGCCTGCGGTCCCGGATCCCGATCGCCCCGCTTCCTCGCCGCGCACGCTTGCCCTGAGGACCTCAGGTGCGAGCCGAGCCCTGCAGAGGGATGGGCCGGGCGAGGGCAGCAGGGCAGAGGGCTGGGAGCTCCAGGAAAGAGCCCCGCCGATCCCGCCGGATTCAGGGGCCACCGTGGCGGTCTTCACTCCCATGTGGGGTAAGGTGGTGTGAGGGTTCTGGAACACCTTTTAGTTTCAGATTCCATTGTTTACGGTAAATTTTGGATCATTTACCTGTAACCTTCACTTCAGTTTAAGGTCCTTAAATGAAGTTTGCCTGCTGCGTGGAAGCTGCGCTAGTGTTCTGCTTTATTAAACTTTAGTGGGAGTCCTTTAGGTTGTACCAGGGGGTGGTGGAGATTCCAGACCAGACAGACTCAGACCTGCAGCCCAGCTCGGCAGCCTCCTGCCGGCTTCCGTGGCCCAGCCTGTTGCTGCTGGGGTCTCTAAAGTCCTGTGTGAGGTGGCTCAAAGGCGATGCATGTGTCTGGTGGTCGTGGGCATTGCTGTCTGTGGAGAGGGCCCCCTGTGCCCTGTGTGTTTATCCTTTGCCAGGAGGCTGCCTCACAGGGCCTGTAAACAACCAGCCCTGCCTTTCTTGGAAGCTGTGGTAGAGTGGGGGCATTGTTGTTGAGTCCTCAGCAATAACAGCCCCAGCTGGTTTGCCAGCCTGAGGTTGTGGGAGGGTGGGGTGGGGACCCTCCCTCTCTCTCTGTGCCCCCAACCTCCCTCTCTCTGTGCCCCTCACCCTGGAAACTCAGGCTGGCAGAGTGCTGTGTTTGTTTCGATGAAATCCAAACCACTTGAATACCAGCCAGCAGTTCAATTCTGAAAGCGGACTCCAGAGGAGCATTTTATGCTCTTGGGCACCAGTGCCCAAGGGAGTTGTGTGGTCTACGTGAGCATCATTCACTAGGAAGAATCCAGTGCAATTTCTGGTATTGGAAGAGCCAGGTCAACAGGCGCTGCCCCAGGCTGAGTCTGCAGCCCAAGCCCTGGAATCTCTTCTGCCTCCTAGCGCTGGCCTCTCATGTCCCGCGTGGCCCTGTTGTGGGAGGGTTTCTCCACTCAGGCGGGTCCCTGTGGATCTTGCAAAGCCTGGTTGAAGTGTGTTGTCCCTTCCCTGGAAGCCTGCCCTGCCCTGCCTAGAGCAGGCAGGTGTTGGCTTGTCGGAGGGAGGCTGGGTCCAGGTCAGCAGCCCAACAGGAAGCCTGAGTGAACCTCCTGGGCTTGGCCTCAGGGGCAGCAGGCTGGAGCTGTGTGTTTGCTCTCTGACCCAGAAGGTGGTCAGCCCCTGCTGTGCTCATGGAGCCACTGCTGGGGTAGTCCTCCTGGCCTGCTCCTCTGGGAGGCCCTGCCCTGGCCATGGTGGCTGTCATGCAAGGTGACCTTAAGCCTTGCAATAGTTGTGCCCGGCACATTTCTTCAGTGCTCCTTTGATGCGGTCTGCCACCCCTACTTTTGCAAGCCCATGCCTTGAGAAAGGCAGAGGGTTTTCCTGGGGCTTCCCAGTAGGCACGGCTGTCCTGGCTGAGGCTTGCCTGCTAGCCAGCCACAGGTTCTGGGCCTGTTTCCAGGGTGACCAGAGTTGGTTCAGCTTGTTGCCTAGGAAAGGAGCCACCGTATGTGTGGGTCAGGCTGCTTTTCACTGGCCACAGTCTGGTCTGGTCTGCTGGGGTCTCCTGGCTCCCGATGGCTGCTCTGGCCCTAGCCTTTGACTACCCAAGAACTTGTAAGTGCATCTCTACAGGGATGGTCTGGCCAGGACCCCTGTGCAGCTTTCTTGGGGTAGGGAAATGTCCACTAAAGAGTCCCTTGAGGGCCCTCTGGATAATCACAGGCAGCAACATCCATTGACTGAATTTCCCCTCCTTTGGGGTTTAGTGCCTTGGGAGGATCCTGCCAGCTGGCTTTGGGGAGTGTCTGGCCCCATTCTTACTGGAGGGAGCAGAGTCTGCTGTGGGACCCAGAGGGTTCCACAGTGTTCTTTGAGGTGGAACAAAGTGGCCCCAGGCCTCTCTCCCCTCCCTGTCCCAGGCTGAGAGGAAGCGTGGAATAACAAAGCACCTGGTGAGGCCAGGCGGGCACAGCTCCCAGTTGGGCACCAGCTAGTCGGGGCGAGCCTGAGCAAACCCTGGGTTTGAAGCTCTCGCGCTGACACTTGGACAAGCCTGATTCTTGTCGGTTTTAAAAATAGCAGTGTGGGAACCCCTCGGAGGCGCCCTGGGAATGTAATTGGGGTGGCACTCCAGGCCCAGAGCCAGCTCTGCTGCGTTTTCCTAAGGTGGCTCACAGGGCCTTTTGTTACCGGAGCTCCCAGCTGGACTCTTGGCCTCGGCCATTCTGCGGCCATTCTGAGCCCCTTTCCCAGGGAGGGAGCTTGGCGTGGGGACTTTGGGTTGCGCAGAGAGCACACCCTGGAGTTCGGTGTACTGTCTGTGACATTTCCCCCTGCTCCAGTACCCTCACCCTTCGCCAGCTCAGCAGGACGAAAGTAGAGTTGATCTGAGTGACACCCAGAGAGACCAGAAAGTGGAGCTCTAGTCTGGTCCTGTTTTGTTCCCCCTGGAACGCAATGGGGGCTGAGGGTTGGGGCCTTCTTTCCTTCCCTTCCTGCTGGGAAGTGAATTAGCCGCCTTTTCCCTAGCAGGAAGGAGGAGGAGGAGGAGACAGGAAGATGACTCCAGCTCTCCCTATCCCCCCAGCCTCATGGCTTTGAGGTTGCTTTAATTACACTGATCCTGGGTGTGCGCTAATCTTGGGGGTGCCATGGCCCAGAAGGGCCCACTGTCCCATGAACCCAGAGAAACACCATCTGGTAAGGACTTTGGCGGCAGGTACCCTGGACCTGGTACCACCAGACTCCCTGGTGCCCCGGCTCCCTCCCGCCCCAGCACTGAGGCTCGGGCCAGGCTTTGAGAACCTCTCTAGGTTCCAAAATACTGGTAATCATTGCCGAGCTACCAGCTGGGTGTGGTGGCACCTGCCTGTAATCCCATCTCTCTGGCAGGCTGAGGCAGGAGAATCAAAACTGTGAGCCCAGTTCAGGCTAGGACACAGTGATTTCCTACGACCATTTTTAGAAAGGGCAGAGCTGTAGCTCAGTGGAAAGGCTTTGGGTTCATTCCCACAAGAAATAAATGAATAAATAACATTTTACCCCCCCCCCAATCTGTACAGTTTCTTTAGTGTAGTCCACAACCCTAGCTGGAAGAGCTGCTCATTTGGGTGGGGCTGGGGCTGGGGTGTTTAAACAGTAATCTCATCAAGGAGAAACAGCCCATCTCCCTGAAGGGAAATGCCCTTCTTGGCAGCTGGGGTAGGGAGCCTGCGGAGGCCCCGTTAGGGCTCATCACCAGCTCCAGCTTCCTCCTTCGAGCTTGGCCCCTGCCATGTCTGATCCTGGGTGTTCAGGACTTTGGCTGAGGGAGCTCCTGCAAGCGCAGGCAGCTCCCCACGGGGTCCAGGTGGATTTCTGCCTGCCCCAGGCTTATCTGAGCCTGCAGGGGCAAAGCAGATGATTTAAAAAACCAAAACAAAACGCTTTTTATCCATCCAGGTTTGCAGTGCGTAATATCCTTGCGCTGGGAGCCAGTGCTTGTACTCAGCACAACCTCCTCGTTCTGTTTCCACCCCTCCTCTCATCCCCTCCGCCCCTCCCTCCCTGTCCCCTTTGCAAAGCACCTCTCTCCATTTCCTAATGGGTTTCTTCTTTGAATTTCTCGGATAAGAGAAGTTGGTTTTGCCCCTACTTCCCAGGATGGTTGATTTCCTATGCGCTCTGTGCACCATCTGGGGAAAGGGACCCTTCCAGGACTCCGCGATGATGGCAAAGTTCCTTTGGGAGGCCCAGCGGCAGCGCAGCGCAGGGGTGGTGTTGGCCCTTTAAACGGTCATGATCTGCCAACCCGGTGGAGCAGGATGGAGGAGGCAGGAAAGTGGGGTGGAGGTGGCTTGGGGTGGAAGGTGGGGTGTGATGACTGCTGGGCTTTTGGGGCAGGTAAGAGAAGGCAACTTTTTTTTGTTGTTGTTGTTTTTTTTTGGCAAAGCCACTCAGATCTTTAATAAGATAGTCCCTCTTAATTGAGTTGACTTTCTTCTCAAAAGGCACCTTTGTTAGCCCTCAGGCTGGGTCAGAGCAGTCACTCTCAGAAGGCCTGGTACCCAGCTAGGAGTCTCTGAACACAGACTTGAGGTGGGGGTGCACTGTGGCCAGGTTCATGGTGCAGGGCGCTGGGCCAGGAGGGTGCCAGGGCTGCTTTTGTTACCCCCACACACCTTTGCCAGGTGCCCCATGGATGGGTTCCTCCCTTGTCGGTGAGATGGGACCTTAGCCCCTGGACGGATGGTGTCTTCACACATGCCCTGCACCATGCGCACAGGCAGGCACAGAGGTGCCCTCTGTTGCTCCCCAGAGCCAGAGTGTCACACATACACAATTGTGAGGCCAAGGCCATCCTGAACTGCATAGTGACACCCTGTGGGGAAAAAAGTTAACACTAGTGACGTAAGGTGGGATGGTCCATCTGTCCATCTACACTTTGCCACCGCTTATGCCAGGCACCCGAGCTGCTCCTGGATCCCAGTCTGCACATCTCACAGGAGGAGGGGCCTCTGTTTAAACAGGGGAATGGCTCTCAGTTTGGCAGATCTATTTCGATGGCCCTCACCTCTCCTGTCATCCCTTGCCCTGCTTCCCCCCAGCTTCACCATGTGCTCTGCGTAAGGCAGAAGGAAGCCTAGAAGGCCTGGCTTCCGTTTGGAACAAGAAACAAAGTGAGCATCGGGTGTGAGCAAGCACCCACAGTGGTGGCCTGGGAGCTGGTGGCCTTATTCTAGGAACTCTGCCAGGGGACAGCCAGGTCCCCAGCAAGGTCCTCAGGTGGGGTCAGGGGAGAAGGAGCGCTGCCAGAGGTGCCGCTTCCTCCTCCACCTCTGCCTGTGACCTGGGCTTCTGCTCCTTTCTCCTTTCACAAGCCGGCTGAGTCAGGAACAGGCTTGAGTGTCTGACCCGGTCTGCGCTGTTGGTCACCAGGCTGGGGAGGGATGCACGTGGCACTCCCTATGGTGCCCCGGTCCTCCTCCCTGGCCTGGTCCTACAGCTGCTGGGAGGGGACTATCTATCCTGAGTAGGCTCCAAGCTATTGGGGTTTCTCACTGCAGGGAGAGTGTACCCTCGTGCAAGCCATACTGAATGCACCTAGGGTTGATCTGACCGAGATTCATACCTGAGGCTCCTTTTACTGGTTCTTTAGGCTGGGGTCCACACTTGATCCCTAGTGGCTCCTTGGGGTGAGTCCAGGGTCCTGGGCTCCCTATTGACTGCATGGGAGTTTGGTAAGCAGTAGACTCCAGGGTCTCCCCTTCTAGCAAGGGAAGTCTTCCTGTCTAGGGACCCCGGAGCCTGGTTCAGGGTTAGAGCCTGGGTCTGACCCACAAGAACCCTGGACTGTCTGTCTAATCGATTCTCAGCAGGCCAAAGGGTGCAGGGTGGCTTCCCCTGCACGGGGAGCCTTGGGGTCCTGGCAGGTCAGGAGTGTGGGAGTGTCCCAGTTCCCCAGTGGAGCAGAGCAGGACTCTCTGTGGGTGGCCCGGGGCGTTCCCTTCAGGAAGTACGTTGTTACTAGAAAGTTGGTTTGCCAGCCCGGAACAGGTTCTTAGGAAGCCAGGTCTAGGGAGCTGTGGCCCTGCCAGCTTCCGGGGTGCTTTCTGTGTGTCCTGCCAGCTTCCAGGCTGTCTCCTGCGAGTCTGTTTCAGAGAATCGCTGACCCAGATCCTCACAGGATTTGGCCTTCTCCCCAGAGTACTCGCCAGGACTTTGACCCCAGTACTGATGCAAACTGTGGCCCTCTGTGATTCTCTGCCAAATATGTGACCACGCCAGGAAAGTGACCCTGGCCGGCCAGGCTGTCCTCCACACAGGGCTGGTAGTCCCTGCCTTGCCGCTGTGGGCCTCCCAGGTTTCCTCGCACCTGTGTGTACACAGTAGGGAGATGTCCCAGGGAAGCTCATTCACAGAGCAGGTAGCGGCTGTGGTCCGTGGCTTAGCCACTCCTCCTGTGAATGTCGAACTCAGAACCTTTGGCACTGGCACTGGCAGGCCCAGTGCATACTCAGGAGGCTTGAGAGCCCGATACGAGCAGACATCTGCACCCTGGTTTATGCAGGGGTTCAGCATTGTTTGCCCATCAGCAGATGAGTGCATGACCAGTACACAGGACTCCTCTCCTACAGCGGGCACTGCTCAGCCATGCAGAGGAACAGGGCCTCGTTGCCCACTCTGATGTAACAGGCTTGAAATCCTGCTTAGTGAAGCGAGCCAGGGTGGGGGACAGACACTGTGATGCCACTTAGGAAAGGGGCCCCTGGTCTAGGCAGATTTGCCAGCAGAAGGAGGGTGGTGGCTGGTGACAGGGAGAGGAGGCCTGGGTGTTTACCGGGGCCAATTGCGCTGGCGGAGACGACAGCATTGGTTCCGCCTTTGGGAACATGGTGTGTGTAAAGCTGTCACCTGCACATGTGTGATAGCTGAAGTGACCCATGCTGTGTCATGGTATTTTACTACTGTAGAGAACGCAGCTGGCTGCAGCCTACTCTTCCATTACTTTGAGGTGGAGTTGGGTCTGGGATAACTGGGCAGTAGAAGAGCTGGGCTCACACAGAGGCTGGGGCTGTGGATGGACAGCCAGCTGCGGCTCTGCAACTTGCCCTAGCCCTTCCCCATAAGGGTGTATGGGTGCACACCTCTCCTCTGGTGTCCCTGGCATTGGCCCAGTCAGCTCCCTGGCAAGCACATCTCCCTGTGTGCAGAGCATTTGGGCAGACTGGGACTGCAGACCCTGGACGGCCCAGTCTCTAGCATCAGGGTGCACACGTGAGCTCTGTGTGTGCCTGAGCATCATGCGCTCCTCACACCTTTGCACTTTTTCAGGGAGCGCCTGGAGCTCCTGGAGGAAGCCAAGAAGATGGAGATGGCCAAATTCCGCTACATTCTGCCCGTATATGGCATCTGCCAGGAGCCTGTGGGGCTGGTCATGGAGTACATGGAGACGGGCTCCCTGGAAAGGCTGCTGGCTGCCGAGCCGCTGCCCTGGGACCTGCGCTTCCGCATCGTGCATGAGACGGCTGTGGGCATGAACTTCCTGCACTGCATGTCCCCGCCGCTGCTGCACCTGGACCTGAAGCCCGCCAACATCCTGCTGGACGCGCACTACCACGTCAAGGTACGGCCCATGGGCTCCTAGGGTGAGGGGTGTACCATCACTTCCGGTCTGGCCTGCCCTGTAGTCCTCAGCCGGCTGGGCGGGCCATGGCCTGTAGATGTCCTGGCACCCAGCTGCAGCCAGGTGTGGGGCCTGATTCTCACATTGTAAGGCTCTGGCTGGAAGATGGGCCTTCCGTTCCAGGTGTAAAGCAGGGGCTCAGGCCGCTGGAGATGCAGGTTAGGCATCCCGAGTCTGCTCAGTGCCTAGACCCTGGGGCCTATTCCCTGGGGTTGTAGCACTTGGGTCAGTTCTCCTGGCAGTGTAAGTCCTGTGTGCCCAGGGAGCCACAGCCCTTTGCTCTCAGATACATGGTCTTTACCGGAACAGAAACCACCAGGCATCACTTGCAGAGCTGCCTTGCTGCCCTGGCAGGGATGGTGGTGCCGGCTGAGCTGGGGTGCAGATAAGAGAAGTGGCTGAGCACCGCCACTGGAAGCCGCTGCCTCTCCAAGCAGGGGTGGGGACGTGTAGGGGGCCACGTGGACCCTCCTCAGAGGACACGGGATGCTTGCTCCTCGCGAGCTGTGCTGTCCCCGCTTCTGGAACTGGAAGTGGTGATGGCTCTCGTCTGTGTTGTGCCTGACTGCTCAGTCCTGTGCCTGTCCCTGGCTGGGCACTCATCTCCTCCAGGCTGGGCTTGCTGTTCAGCTCGGTGTCTCCCTGCCCTGGTATACAGTGGGTGCTTAGTACTTGGTTGGTGATGAGATGTGTGCCTCTTGGCCACTCTGGATCGTCATCTGACTGTGAAGGCCTGGCTTGGTGGCTGTGCTGGCCCAGGTGGCCGGGAAGGGCCTCCCCAGGCAGGAAGTGATACCTGCCCCTTACGATGCAGCCCAGCCCCAAGAAAGGCTGGGTCAGCCCAATGCCTTGCTTGGTCACCACTGAGGAGCCCAAAAACATACAGAAGTGCACTCCCGCACACCTTTCTCTGGTGCTTGCATAGAAACGGCTGCCTAGTGTGCAGAGGGCCAAGTGACACCCCTGTCCCTCGTGACAGCTTTTGGGGAGTGCTTACTCGGAGCAATTAAGGCAGGACACACCCTAACTCCACCACCCTTTCCCTGGGCCTCAGGTATGCGCTGCCTTTCCGCATGGGGTGTGCCCAGAGTTGAAATTTCATCCGGCTGGCCACTCTGCCCAGTGTTATAAATGTCCCTGATGTTAGGTTACACCCTCATCAACGTGTCAGAGGCAGTCAGGAGCCTTGTTAAAATAAGGATTTTAAGCTGGCTTGCACCTGGAATCCCTGCACTCTGGGAGGCTGAGGCAGGAGGATCATAAGTTTAAGCCCAGCCTCAGCAGTTTAGCAACTTAGGGAGACTGTGTCTGAGAGTTTAAAAAGGGTGTCTGGGGAGAGAACATGATGATAGGGCCCTTGTCTAGCAGGTACCGAGGCCTGGGCCTTAGTCCCGAGCACCCCTAACTAACTGAATAAAAAGGGCTGGGGGAATAAAAGAAGCTTGGTGTGAGGCCCTGGATTCAAGCCCCAGTCCCCACCGCACTGTGGACTTGGAGGTAGTTTAAGTTAAAAATGAGCTGGCATTCCTGTTCATGTGTGCGGTGTGCCCTGCCCATCCTCCTGAGAGCCAGGGGCAGATGCCCTAACCTGAGTATATCTGTCTTTGTAAGGTGATGACAGCCCCGAATTGGCTGTTGGCAGGAGAACCAGCACATAGCAGGGAGCACTGGGCACCGGAGTCCCCGAGTCCAAGCCTGTCTTCATTTGTAGATTTCAGACGTCTTGGGGGGCTGGCAATTGTCAGCTGCAGCTTCCTGTGGGCCTGAGCCTATAACAGGGGTTGCAGCTGCTGCCGGTCTCGCTGTGGACTGCGGCACAGTGCTGGCCTCTCTCTGGGGACCAGGCAGTCCCCCTCACAAGGCCTCTGTGAAGCCGGCAACCAAGGCCACCCAGTGCTGGTACCTGGGCTTGCTGAGCCCTAGAGCCTGCCCTGCCCCGGCCGAAGCGTGGAGAAGAGCATGGCCAAGCCTGTCCCCATGGGGGTCCTCGCCACCTGTGGGGCTCAGCTCAGAGTCCCTGGGAGGCTGAGTCCCCAAGCCAGTGGGGGTGACACCACCAGGCGCCTGCCTTCTGCCTCCTGCCCCCCATGGAGTAGGTCCTGGCTCAGCTGTGTTTCCTGCTGCATCCTGGAGAGGAGCCAGGAGTGAATGCAGGGCTCACACATCTCTGACCCTTGGGAAGGGAGAGGGTGGCTCTCGCACCCCAGGCTGGGCTGCATCCCATTTGCACCCGCAGCCTGGGGCTTCTTCCACACCTCTGAGCATCTGGGTTCCTCAGGTGGTGGGGATCTGGGCTGGGCAGGTCCTTCCCAGAGAGGCCCCAGGGTCCTTGGCCAAGGTGCAAAGACGCCTTTGCCCCAGAGCCCATCCCCCTGTGCCTGTGAGAGGCAGCTGGGGGCACCAGAGCCAGGCACTGTTGGTGGGAGGTGGCTGTGTGTTTGAAGAAGGAGCCACCAGATGTCTGCTGGCCACAAAACAGTCGGGCAGAGCACAGCAGGCCCCGGGGCAGCGAGGTGTGTGTTTTGTTTGCTGAGGCTTCTGAAGGTTTGCTGTCCTTTAAGGGCTTGCCGCCACTTGCCGCCCCAGCTGAGGGCTTGCATAACCAGTCTCTTGCTGCTGCTGCCGGCTGGAGCCCAGGGCTCTGCTCCTGCCCTCTGCACCGGGGGCTGTGCAGAGCCAGCCTCTCCCCGTACACTGTTGATGAAAGCCATTCCGAACTTGCCCAGCACGCTGAGCCCCGAGCTCTCAGGTGTCCGCCTGGCCCGTGCAGCCCCATCTTGGGCTAAGGTACCTACTGCGTTCTGTGTTGCAGATCTCGGATTTTGGGCTGGCCAAGTGTACGGGGCTGTCCCACTCCCACGAGCTCAGCATGGATGGCCTGTTTGGCACTATCGCCTACCTCCCTCCTGAGCGTATCCGGGAGAAGAGCCGGCTCTTTGACACCAAGCACGACGTGTACAGGTGGGTGACCCATTAGGTCGGGGCTCTGCCCAGGGTCTGTGCTACGGGGAGGATGCCCCTGCTCATGCGGGTGGGGCCGGTTGTGTAAGTGGCTGCCAGCGCCCACACTGTGCGCACTGTGTAGTTTCCTGTAACGTGGGCTTTATTGCTTGCCTGTTGGAAGTACCCACAGGTCTGTGAGTGTGTAGGTTGTGACACAGGCAGCTTCCACACACCAGGAAATGAGGTAGCAGGACCTGGGAGCCTCTAGAGCGGTGCCGGGGGCAGGGCCTTCCCTCTCCAGTTGGTGGAGGCTGAATCACATGGGCCTCCTGGAGGAGGAGACTGAGGGAGCCGCAGCCAGGAGTGCACAGGCTGCCCTGGCCTCTGCGCCCCAGCCCACAGGTGCTGATCTGGCCTCAAAGCATCCGGCTCCACCTTCCTGTCATCCTCTGTCCCCACCACCACCCGGCTGACTGGTTTGACAGTCGCCATTGTCATGTGCTGAGCTTGCCTTTGAGTGGTGACTGTGCCAGGTTGCCCTCCCTCTGGATGAGTCACAGCTAGCAGTGCTGGGGAGAAAAGATACTGCCTTAGCACCGAGCCTGGCCTGTGAATCTGCGAAGCTCCATGAATTTTCAGTGAATTTTCTGTGGCTGCCACGTCAGTGCTCTGGGTCGGGGGACAGATTTTGGGACTCTTCAAAACAAATTGTATCAGAAAAGCTGGGCGTGGTGACACACGCCTGTAACTCCAGCCCTCGGGAGGCTGAGTCAGGAGGATTGCTGCAAATTGGAGGGCAGTCTGAGTTACATAGTGAATTCAGGGCCACCCTGAACTGTACAGCAAGACTCTGTCTCAAAAAGCAAAAGAGAAAACAAGCCCAAAATTGTATCAGAGGGTGTTCTCTTTTGCACGTATCTTACTTGCTGTTAATATGCGCTTTATACATGCATACCTCCACCCTGCAGTGGGAGAGGGCTTTAGGGTGCAACTGAGCTGCTCCTTCTTTAGTCCCCAATTCCCCCAAGGGGCACAGCTCAGGACCGCACGCTTAGTCAGCCCCACCAGAGGGGAGCAGGGAGCAGGGCCAGGAGGTGCGGTGTCCTCGGTCCACGCAGTGAGCGCACAGTCCATCGAGGAGACAGAGCTGGGGCTGGACTCTGGGTGGCCTTGCTGGGGAGCCCTGTGTGGCTCGGGCCCACAGTCCCACCCGTTTCTCTTGCAGCTTTGCCATCGTCCTCTGGGGCGTGCTGACGCAGAAGAAGCCCTTTGCAGGTGAGTGGCCTGCTGTCCCTGGCACCGTCCCAGAACACGGCCTGCTCTGTTCTGCTTGTCCTCCCCATGGGACTCGGAGCCCCGGGCCACCCAGGTGCCCAGGCAGCACAGTCTCCATGGGGAGGTAAAGGTGGCCGTGCGAGTCTGTGTTAGGGCCACTTTGTCTCCATTTTGCTGTCTAAAGCCTGGAATTCCCCACAGAAACACAAAAGAGAAACATTTTTTAGATACACATTTTTAAAAACCCAAAAAAGTTTTAAACAGAGGGGTGCGATTCTGTGGTTCAGCACACTCACCGCCATCTGGTTCCGGAACCTTCTCACCCCCAGCTGGAAGCCCAGGCCTGTGAGTGGCCGCTGCCATTCCCGCCTCCAGCCACCAATCTGCCCTGCCTGGGAATTTGCCTCTTCCGGGTTTCCCAGCTAGCCCCCCAACCTTTTTTCTTCTTTTTTTAAAGTTAAAAAGGTAAATGGGACAAAGTTGCGTATAGTGACTGTGTCTCGGTGTGTGTTCCGTCAGGGTGCTCCCGTGGCTGAGGTGGGGTGGCCCGGCCTCTGGCTGTGAACCTTCAGCCCTGATTTCTGGCCTGGGAGCCCAGTAGCTTGACTCAGTTTACCCTGAAAACCGAGTGGCTCCGAGGTGCATCCAGAGGGCTGGGTCTGCCCCTCTATTGCTGGTTCAGCATTTGGACCTTGCCTGGCATACAGGAGGCCCTGGGTTCCATCTCCAGGGAAAAACACAAATGAAAAACAAAGGGGCGCAGGGCCCTCAGGTCTAGGAGCCCTGCTGGCAGAGGCAGAGACTGGGCAGCAGCACAGGGCGGAAGTGCTAGGCAGCAGGGACCCTGCTCACACACAAGGCACCCTCAGCCCCTGTCGTCTGGCCAGCCGTCTTTCCCTTCCATGTCCCCTCCCCCTGCCGCGTGAGTTCTTTTCAATGCAGCCAGCTGCTGGATAGACACAGCCCTGGGCGGGAGCCATCACACTGTGGTGGCCAGGTGCAGGGCAGCACAGCGCATGTTTACCTGGTGTTTTATCTAGAAGGCTTTTCAGGCTTGGAAGTATCAGTGGCCATGGAAATGAGAAATAACCTGCAGATGCTAGTACAGCTGCTGTATAGACTTCCAGGCCGGTGAACATTGGTGTGGCGTTGACAGTCCCACTTGGTGGGTGGGGCAGAGTGAAGAGCCAGGCTCCCTGAGGGTCACCTCAGCCTTCCCCACCCAGGCAGAGGCTGAGGCCCAAACAGTGCCAGCTGTGAGCCACATGGCCTGGCACCTGTGTGCCCACTCGTAGAGACAGGTGGCCTCTGGAGTGATGGTCTTTGGGGACCCGGGCTAAGGAGACCCCAGCTTGCAGAGGGGAGGCTGTGGTCCTCACGCCCCTGCTTCCTCCATCTCTGACGGGTCCTGATGGCACCTCTCCCCGCAGATGAGAAGAACATCCTACACATCATGGTGAAGGTGGTGAAGGGGCACCGTCCCGAGCTGCCGCCTGTCTGCAAGCCCCGGCCTCGAGCCTGTGCCAGCCTCCTGCGCCTCATGCAGCGGTGCTGGCACGAGGACCCCAGGGAGCGGCCCAGCTTCCAAGGTGAGCCCTGCAGTGCCCTGGGCCACAGATCTACCACTGACCCAGGCCAAAGACCAGGCTGGTCTCTGCGCCCCTTGGCCAGCTCCAGCTGCCACCCTGTGCCCCCAGCCAGGGCAGGAGCTGCCATGGTGCCCCCAGAGTTCTCCTTGGAGACTCAGCGCCTTGGTCTGGGGCTTCCCCTCGCCTAGCTCTGGTCATCAGAGCAAAGTGTCTTGGGCACAGTGGAGCATGGTGATCATGTTTTCATGTTTAAAATGCAGAGTAGCACAAAGTGAGGCTCAACTGCCCGAGGGGGCCCTGCCGTAAGTGTGGCAAACCCACAGGCAGCTGCCTAGGGTGGGGCGGGGGACTGGGACACCAGAGAAGCTGCCGCTCAGAGGCTGTGTCTGCAGAGACATGTCTGGGAAGCCCTCACAGAGGGGCCCGCCTTCCCTTCTGTTTTCTCCATGCAGAAATCACCTCCGAGACCGAGGACCTGTGTGAGAAGCCAGAGGAGGAGGTCAAGGAGACACCCCAAGACCCGGGCAGGGAGAGCTCCCCGGAGCCCAAGAGTGAGGTAAAGGGCTGGACTTTGACTATGGGGTTCTCCAGGCTCCTTCCTGCACAGCCCCAGGCAGCCTGCCCCAGTCTCCTCTGCTCAGCCCACTCTGCACCCAGGGCCACGGTGCCTATCAGGGAGACTGGTCAGGATTTGTGTGGCACCCCTGAGCAGCAAGGGGTGTGTGGGGTGAGAGCCAGGGTTGGGGTGCTGGAGGGGACAGTAAACAGGTGGGCCTTGGCCTCTGATCCAGCAAAGAAAAGGTCCAGTCAAGGGATGGGGCTCAAGGGGCAGGGGCAGGATAGAGGACCAGGACCAGGGAGGGAGCGTGCATCGCAGCAGGGCTGTCCTGCCTGGCTCCTCCAGAATGGTCACAGCTAGTGTCCTGTGGCTGGGCCCCAGCCCTTATGCAGCCCCAGCACTGTCCCATAGGGCTGGAGGGGAGGTTGCCGGGGCTGTTGGCAGTGGGGCAAGCACCCAGCCAATGCCAGCTTCCTGTGCTTCTCGGCTGTCCACGGTGGTTGGGGTCCAGCCCCCTACTTCTGCTCCTGCAGCATCTTCCCTATCTGCCTTCTGTGTAGAAAGCACCATCCCCAAGCAGGTGGCGTCCAGACCGAACCACTGGACTGGCCACTGTGTCCTGCGGTGCTGGGTCTGGGGCCCCTAGTGTCTGAGGTGGAGAATCTTCCCTGTCCCTCTGCACTTCCTGGCCCCCCTCAGGTCCTTGTCCCCCTCTTCCTGTGCCAGGCATCCAGCACTCCCACCCTGCTCCTCATGGGGCAGGCAGAGGCCCACTTCACTCTGCCCTGTGTGTCCGCAGGCCATGCCCGGGGCCACGCGTCTCAAGCGCGCCTCTGCCCCACCCTTCGATAACGACTGCAGCCTCTCGGAACTCCTGTCCCAGCTGGACTCGGGGATCTCACAGACCCTGCAGGGCCCGGAAGAGCTCAGCCGCAGCTCCTCAGAGTGCAAGCTCCAGTCGTCCAGCAGCGACAAGCGGCTCTCGGGTGTGTCGTCGGTGGACTCTGCCTTCTCTTCCCGAGGGTCACTGTCGCTGTCCTTTGAGCGAGAGCCGTCCACAAGCGGTGAGTGGCACAGCTGGCTGTGGGCATTGCAGTTGCTGTGTGCCCCAGTGTCCGATCCTCGGCTAGCTTTGGGAGTCATTCTGGGGAACTGAATTAGGGGAGTGTGATTAGTGTGCGGGGCCCAGAGATGCAGGGGCTGCATGCTCCCTCTCTTGCCACTCAGTGGGTGGAGAGCAGGCCTTGCAGGCCGCCTGTACCAGGCGTGTCTCACCCAAGCCAGGCCCAGTGCAGCTGCAGGGTTGCTGGAGTCAGGAGGCCAGCCAGGCCCACACCGTGTTCTCAGGCAGCATGAGTGCATCTGTCCCTTCACGTCTGCCCCGCATGTGTCCTGCGGTGTGGGTTATCCGCAGGGTGCTGGCACCTGTCATGTGCGATCTGTGGGGCCCTGGAACTGGCCTCTTGCATCTGTTCTTGTTTTGCTGAGTGTTCTTAGCAGGGAGCCTTACCCCTGCTCCCACTCTGCGGACTGGGGCCGTCCTGGAGCTGAGATTGTGCTGGGGCCGCGTGCCTGCAGCCCCTAAAGGCTGTGTGTGTTTGTCGGGGGCTGGCATCCTCCTGCTGGGATGCCCTGGGTTGGGTATCCAGAGTAAAGGGAGGGTGCTGTTGGGTAAGAAGAGGCTGTGGACAGGTGGGCAGAGCAGTTGGGCTGAAGCTTGCTGTGGGGAGGACAGTCAGGCCTAGTTGAAGATAGCTGGAAATTGCCTGGACCAGAGGGTTCCAGAACCTTCCCTCAAAGGTGACATCTTGGATGACATCTTGTCTCACTCCTGAGACAGGATCTCTTACGTACTGGCCACATGGGGCAGTATCTCACTGGGCAAGGGCTGTGTCCATCACACCTTGCCCACTCCACTCTCTTGCCTGCCTGTGTGTCAGGATGCCAGGCGTGCGGCGGGGTTTTTGTGTTCCCCTTTTTTGGGGCTTGTGCTGGAAAATGCCTTGTAGTTTCCCCCTGAAAGGAGGGGCTACATGGTTCAGCTTTTGGTCCACACGTCCCTCAGGGGCAGGAGCTGCTGGCTGGCTCTGCACCTTCCTGTCTTTGTCCATGAAGGGACCTTAGCAGCACTCCCAGCCTTTCTGCGTAGGGGGGTGGGGGGTGGGAGGGGAGGTCTACATTTTAAGTCTCTTATGGCTGCTGTGGTTTTTATTATGCAAATCAACAGAGGAGCCCTGTAGATGTCCACCATCTGGGACAGCTGCTTTAGGGGCTGAATAGTGACCTGCAGGCTGGCCTACCCTGAATGTCCCCACCCAGATCCTGTAAGGCGTGGGCCACTGCACATGTGTGGCAGTGGGGCCTTGGGCACCAGAGTCCCCAAGAGCGACCTTGTCTGACCTTGCCTCTCCCTACCCCTGTAGATGTGGGCACCACAGACATCCAGAAAAGGAAGCTGGTGGATGCCATCATGTCAGGGGACACAAGCAGGCTGATGAAGATCCTGCAGCCCCAGGATGTGGACCTGGTTCTGGATGGCGGCGCCAGCTTGCTGCACCTGGCTGTGGAGGCCGGGCAGGAGGAGTGCGTCAAGTGGCTGCTGCTGAACAACGCCAACCCGAACCTGACCAACCGGAAGGGCTCCACCCCGCTGCACGTGGCCGTGGAGCGCAGGGCTCGGGCCGTAGTGGAGCTACTGCTGGCTCGGAAGAGCAGTGTCAATGCCAAGGACGAGGACCAGTGGACGGCCCTGCACTTCGCAGCACAGAACGGGGACGAGTCCAGCACTCGGCTGCTGCTGGAGAGGAATGCGTCTGTGCACGAGGTGGACTTTGAGGGCCGCACGCCCATGCACGTGGCCTGCCAGCATGGCCAGGAGAACATTGTGCGGATCCTGCTGCGCCGTGGTGTGGACGTGAGCCTGCAGGGCAAGGACGCCTGGGTGCCACTACACTACGCTGCCTGGCAGGGCCACCTGGCTATCGTCCGGCTGCTAGCAAGGCAGCCGGGTGTGAGCGTCAACGCACAGACAGTGGACGGCAGGACACCGCTGCACCTGGCTGCTCAGCGTGGGCACTACCGCGTGGCCCGAGTCCTCATTGACCTGTGCTCCGACGTCAATGTCTGTAGCCTGCTGGCACAGACACCCCTGCACATCGCTGCGGAGACTGGGCACACCAGCACTGCCAGGCTGCTCCTGCACCGTGGTGCGGGCAGGGAGGCGGTGACCTCTGAGGGCTGCACCGCCCTGCACTTGGCCGCCCGCAACGGACACCTGGCCACTGTCAGGCTGCTGGTGGAGGAGAAGGTTGACGTGCTGGCCCGAGGGCCTCTGCACCAGACGGCCCTCCACCTGGCTGCTGCTCACGGGCACTCGGAGGTGGTGGAGGAGCTGGTCAGCACCGACCTCGTCGATCTGCCTGACGCCCAGGGACTAAGCGCACTGCACCTGGCTGCCCAGGGCCGGCACGCTCGCACCGTGGAGACGCTGCTCCGGCATGGTGCTCACATCAACCTGCAGAGCCTCAAGTTCCAGAGTGGCCAGAGCCCCGTGGCAGCCGAGCTCCTACAAGGCAGCAAGACCTAGCTTGCTGCCACGGCCAGGCCTGTGTGGGCTTTCTCGAGCACCTGGTGCTCAGCGTGGGGTTGCAGAGGGCTGAGCCAGGCCGCTCCGCTGTTCTCTATGGAGGCCGGGGTGCTAGGTTGCTGCCGGCAGACGCGGTTCACATCTGCCCCCCCAGCAGCTGGCGTCTGCAGGGCCGATGTGTCAGAATCATTTCTTCAGGCTCCCAAAGGGCTGCTTGCTGATGGGGGTCCCTTGGTGACACAGACGGGGCGAGGATGTCCCCAAAGCAAGCTGCTGTGCTTGTGCGGGGTGGCAGGGATGGTCCCTGTGCTCTGGGCCTGGGCAGCTGTGGAAAGCATCCCAGGGTCTCCAGGAGGGGCACGGTCCTGAAGGCACGGCACTCCCTGCAGTCACCCCTTCCGGGTGCCAGGCACTGCCCTGGTCATTTTTGTTCCTCACTGCCCAAATATTCTTTGAACTCCAAAGTCAGCTGTGTCTAAGTCATTTTAAATATTTTACATTTACTTTTGGAGTAAAAACAGTGTTACCTGGGTGGACAGGTCACTCACCCCACTTCCGGTGAGGTGCTTTTCTGTGCCTGGGGCATGGCTGGGCATCTCTGATGTGTTAGGGTGCCACCCGGGGTGGGGACAGTGGCGTTCTGGTGTGTCCAAGGGTGCCCTGTGAATGCAGCGGGACAGGGCAGTGCGGATCACGGTGCCAGGGTGATGAATGTGCTGCGTCTGTGATGAGGACAGGTGGACGCTGCCTTCTTGTGGCAGGACAGTCCCACGCTGCTGAGCTGGCTGCCTTCACTGCCTAATGTGCTTTGAATGTTGTAACCTCCGGTTGTTTTGGACTCGATGCCATCGGGTTCTGTTGGATGTCAATAAAGCAATCTGCTCGTCAACTTTCTGGAAGACCACCGATTCTTGTTTTTTATTTTCTTTTGCTTTTTCCTGAATAATCGTTTCCTGGAAACCGGAGGTCTGAAGCTGTCATTCTTCCGTGTGCATCCTTAATCCTGCGTGGTCGCCTCAGGCACTGTGCCTGGCCCTGCAGAATGACAGATGTCCTGTGGGTTTTATAACAGGCAGGAATCAAGGCCTAGAAACTTTGTCTTACTATGGCTGCCACTTGGCTTTGCTTCCCTCGTGTGTGTGTGACAGTCTTGGTCAGTAATTTAGGTTGTGTTGAACTCACTGTGTAGCACAAACTGGCCTGAACTCATGGCAATCCTCCTGCCTCAGCCTCCTAAGTGCTGGGATTGCAGATTTTCTTTCCTGTTTCCCTTCCTGTCTGGAAATTGTGGTAAGGCGTTTGAGACCATGCTCTCATCTTCTCCTCATTTCCTCCTCCCTCTTCCCCATCCCCTTCTCCCTCTGCCCCAACCCCCAGCCTCACCGTCTTGCAGGACAGTGGCTTCTTGGATGGTGGCAACTGAGTATCTCTTACAAGGTCCCCTGGGGGAAAGCGCCTGCCCCTTGATCCTGGAATAGAGGACAAGGAGAGAGGGAGCCCTGGGGTAGGACTGCCCAGCTCCTTCCAGGGTACAGGCTTTGTAGAGAAGGGGGTCCTGGTCTTGCCTGCCCTGTGGGCCCTAGGTGTGCAGCACTGTCCTCAAGCAGGACGTCCAGTGTGGGCCCAGGCCTGACCTCTGTATTGCCCACATGAAGAGCCCAGGCTTTGGGGCCATTTTCTCTGTGGGCCCCTAGGCCAGGAGCTCCCCACTGTGATCCAATGGTCAGCACAGCACCCAGACTTCTGGAGCCAGAAGCAATCACCTAGCTGTGCCCTGCATACCCCTGCTTGTGCTCTGGTTCCAGGGCCACCCTGCAGCCATCGGGAGATTCTGGCTGGCACAGGGTTTCCCTGAGGTGCCCACCGGGCAGCAAGGCTGTGCCCTGACCCCAGGCACCTGAGCCAACTCCCTGCCAGACCACGAGGAGCTGGTGTTCGGGGCTGGGCTCCCTGCCCCAAGCTCCCCCTATGCTAGTCAGGCTCTTGAAAGCCCAGCCCCAGGTGGCCTGGATGGCGATCTGTACACACTCGTGTTCAGTGTGTTCATAGCAGCACAAGTTGGAATAGCTGAAGGCTGAGCAGCAGCCTGCTGTCCGCTGGCGGATGAATGGATAGGGGAATCGAAGTGTTTACACACCATGGAGGCCTGCCCTGCCCTTAGGAAGGATTCACTGGAGTCCTCTGAGGGGAAATGGACACATTGTGTTGTAGTCAGGCTCTGTAGAGGAAACGATTTAATACAGGACAACATACAATTTACAGGATTATTTTACAATAGTCACCCAAAGAGACAAAAAAATGCAGGAAAATTGTTCATGCATTGGAGAACCAGAGAATCCAGACGAGGACCTGGATCCCACAACAGTGTCCCGCACGAGTCCAGCTGAAGACCTAGAGGCCTTGACTATGTCTCAGGCAAGTCTATATCAAGGATCTGCACTGGGAAGGCCCAAAGATCAGTGGTGGAAGCTAGAAAGTCTGCACCAGTGGGGTGAAGGAGCTGTGCCAGCAGGGGAGGGAGCTGCACTGGAGCCAGGAAGTGATGCTCTAGGTAAGGACCAGGGCTCCCCCCAAAGTACCACAGCCTCCTCAGTGACAGTGAGGACCCGAGCTCCTCTGACGATGAGAACAGTGGAGTTCATACCAACATGACCAGCTCCCCTGATAGAATCAGCAGCACCGTCCTCCCTGCCAGGTCTCCGTTTATGCTCCTGGCAGCAATCTTCAGGGGCCCCTCTGCACCCAGCCCTGCGCCGATGAATCTTACCTGACAAACCCAAAGTCTCAGTAAAGGGCAAAATAAGGATATGAAAAGAGGAAGGATAGAAAAGAGGAAGTCAGGAGATTTTTTTTTTTTTTTTTGCATATGGGTAAAGGATGGAGAGAGGGAGGAAACATTAAAAAACATGCGCACAGCCCCCACAGGGAGTGCTACATGCTGTGGACACAGTGACAGCGAAGAGATGGGACAGCTGCCACTAAACCGGGTGTTTCCCAGCAGCCCCTGCTCCTCCCTCCCTGATCAGTTGTCACCAGGGGTCGGGAGCTTAGAACCCTGGGCTAAGTACTGCCCTGATCTCTGCTGGCTGGAGCAGCAGGTGCCCCCTCTGCTGTGTCCAGTGACGCCCAGGTACACCAGGGACAGCCACAGCCCCCGGTGCAGTTCTCAGAGAGTCCGGCCCCACAGACGGAGGAAACTTTCTTTGTGGGCCCGCACTCCCGGCCTCCTTGCCTGAAGTTGGTGTCAGCTGGCAGGAAGTGTCCTGCTCTGTCTCCAAGCTCCCTCCTGCCTCGGCCTCCCCAGCCCCACACTGCGCACAGCCGGAGGCCCCAAGGCTGGGATGGCTGAAGGTGCAGTCTATAATGGTCCCGTTCCTTGTGGGGAGCTGCTGAGTCTCCTGCTCTCCCCATGTCCCCTTCCCTCCTGCCATCTACTGGTCCCCTTACAGTTTGCGGAAGACCTGCAGCATTTCCCTGCTCCCAACCATTGTCTTTGATTTTGTTCTTTAGCATGTTTATACCTTGGGTGTCTGGTAGGAGAGAATCCACGTGATGTTTAGGCTCGTGTGTCTGATGTAATTCACGTAACATCATGGTCCCAAGGTGTACCTGTTTTCCCACAGATGGCTCAAGTTTATGTTTCTTTATGGCAGCACTCTTTATGGTAGCACTCCACGGTGTGTAAACACCACATTTTCTTAATCCATTCCTCTGTAGACGGACCTCTGTAACCCAGGCCACTTCCAGAATTTAGCTATTGAGAGTTGTGAGATGCTGTAATCACGGGAGTGCATGGGTCACTGTAATACAAGGACTTTAACTCCTTTGGGAGGGTATCTAGGAGGGGATTTGCTGGGTTAAATACACACATGAAGAATGTTCGACCCTCTGACCACAGAGAAATGCAGATTAAAACACCACCAAGATCCATATGAACCCAGAATGGACATCATCCAGAAATCAGATAAAAATAAATGCTGGTGAGGCTGTGAGTGAGAAAGAGGCCCTCTCCATTCTTAGTGTAAATTCGGACACCCACCCTGTAACTGGGACACCCCCTGTGTAACCCTGGACACCACGGTTGAAGTGAGCACAGACTTTCTCAAAACAGGAAGGTTTTTGTTTGGGGTTGGGGGGAATTAGAGTGCTGATACATTGTGTAACCCTGGGTATCTCAGTGTCCAGGCCCCTGCTGCCTGGCTGTGCCCACCCTAAAACTGGCCACAGCATCCAGAGAAGTAGAAGTCCCAACTGACCAGACTGGCCTGACAGATGCCATTGCCATTGTGGGACAATAGTGTCCGAAAGGGCAGCAGGAATATCCTGCTGGTGGATGGAGATGAGGTTTATTCCTCAGGTCCCTCTGTGGATAGCAGGGGACACTTCCAGTGTGCCCAGGAGACATGTGTAGTAATGTGTCTGCATTTCCTCAGGAAAGCAGACCACAGGGACCCCCAATCTAGAGCATTGTCTTCAGAACCATGGAAGCTTCTGGAAGGTTCTAGAACATTCTGGAAGGGCTGCTCCTCAGCCTGCAGCAGAGACTGGACAAAGGCACTGAAAGCATAGCAGGAGGTTGGAGAGAAGATATAGAATCACCCACTGTATCCATCAGAACAAAGGGAGGGCTCCTGTCATAGTTCTCAGTGACGCACCCAGGCTTAGGCAGAGGGAAAGAAGGCATCTCCAGCCACTGTGATCACTGTCCCAAGCTGGGAAGGCCTGAAGGGAGAGGGCTCCAGGCGAGGGCAGAAGTCGGGGTGCAGAACCCTGTGCCGGGGTGGCTGCCTCAGTGGGCTTGGGGGTGAACAAACCGTGTGGACCTTCCGAGGGGCTGCCCCTGGCCACGATGAGGGCTTGGTAAGTGTTTCAGGCTGATGGCTGGTGTTTGGTGCTTGGACAGGAGTTTACACGGAGAAACCCGACGGGGCACCCGTGTGAGAGGAGAGGCAGGCAGGGTAAGGGCCTGAGGCATGGTGCTTGGCACCAGCCGGCTGGGCCTGGGCAGTGGGGCTTTGAGGCCACCGCATCTGGGCCCGGGGCTGGGTCCAGGCCTCCTGCGCCAGCTTCCTCCTCCTTCTCCTCCTTCTCCTCCTCCTCCTCCTCCTCCTCCTTCTCCTCCTCCTCCTCCTCCTTCTGCTGCTGTTGCTTCCTGGACCAGCTGGGCCACTGGAAAAACGAGACCCAGGAGAGGTGCAGCTGGCGGAGCCTGTGGGTGGGGCAGGGGGAGAAAGGACGGTGGCCACTTCCTCCATGGGTGGTGGCCGCGGGAACTGTGGCCTGGGCCTTTCCTCCTCCTCTTTCTTACTTTCCTAGTGGCTGAGGGAGGGACCTGCTGCCCTTCTTAGCCCTGGTCAGGACACCGAGCTATATGACCCCTGTGTGTCCAGGTCCTCCTTCTTCATGAGCTCAGAGAGGCAGATGTCAGGCTGTGGGATCTCTGGATCCAAAGACGAGAAACCAGACACACATCCATGCACAGGTCACCTCAGGTCTCCTGGGTGTCAGCTGGGTGCAGCCTGGTTGAGAGAGGGACAGGCTGCCCCCGAACAGAGCAGCAGGTTTGCATGGTTTTGCTGGGGGGCTCCGGGGCAGGCGTTTCCATCGGCTGGGGGCCTAGACCACCTAGCCCTCATGGTCATCTCCTCCCCAGGGCTGTCGGGGTGCAGTGCACAGGGTGATCAAAAAATAAAGTGAACACAAAACATTTCTTTAAAAAATGTATTGCAGTAAAAGACACATTACCAGGCGTCCCCTTCAAAACCCTGCCCCTCGCTTCACGCCCTCATCCCAGGGTCCTGGCCACTTCCGGTTGCAGCTCTGGGGTCCTCTCTCTTGGGGGTCTTCAGTGGCACTGTCCTGGCTGCCTCAGTGTCTTGAATTGATTCAAGACGTCTCC